CCAATGAAATAAATTAAGGTCAACTACAAAGGACAGTCAATTAATAAACATACAAAATCACAGTGCTTGAGAAAGATACTGACTGCTACAGGATGAAACCAATAAGAAAAAGAACAAGAAGACACATCAGCTTTTGTATCGCAAATCATATAGTTTTCAACAAAATTGAAAAAAGTGAGAAAAACAATCACAAGAGAAAAGTCAAACATTACTAAATACAGCATTCCCTTGTGTTGACCCTAGCCGTCATTATTTCGTTTTTTACGATGCAAAAACAAGCATACCAATAAAAAAGGTAGATTATTTTGAATCTATCAAGTTGTTTTATACATTTCTTACATAAGAGAAAGGCACAGCACTTCTAGCAAAACACAGTCATGCACAAGTTTATTCACTTATTAACATAAAGAAGCCCCTTTATACAGAAGAAATCAGCACAAAACTTCTACTCAGAATTTTTCTAAATCTGCCACATGAGAAAATGCTAAATTTACACTGGCCAAATTAGATATGGAATAACCTCAAGATTATATGTAGTTACATATTCAGTTTCAGCTTCTTTTTGAATGTAAAACATATTAAAGATCTGCAGTCTAACAAGCTAACTTTTTTTTAAATTCTCTTCCAGTAACTAGGCAACTGACAACTGTCCAACTGAGAATTATCTCTCTGAACAGCTGGCAATCAACACTAGAGTGGTTTTTTTTGTTGTTGTTGGGTTGGGTTTTTTTTTGTTGTTGTTTTTATGGTCTTGCTTTTTATTTTCCCTTAGTAGAAAGATCAGTAATGACAGCTTCTTTACAAAACTACACAGCTCTAAAGAATCCACCTCTGAAACCTCTACTTTTTAGTCACCTCCGCATTTCCATTATCTCAGTAGTTGCTCTTATCAGTAAATGTTTACAACAGAATCTGAAAACCTTAGATTTATACGTATGAAGTCTCTATTTAGAGAATGTCAACACTTAAACAAAGAAATATCAAGAATAAAAATGGAATGTATTTATTCATCTATGACAGCCTCCTTCAAGAACCATGACAGACAGCTAAACTAACTCCAATGTAACTTTTAACTGCTTTATTTCCCTTTTATTTTTAATACTCATCTGCTGCTGAAAAATAGCATTTCACTCATATTAATCCATGAGTTAATTTTTTAAAACATTCCTTCTGCTACTTCAGCTATCTTTTATAATTAGAAATTAACGTGGCAATTCCTTTATGATATAAAGGAAACAATGGTGAACCAAGCTTGATATATTACACTTTCCCCCACCCTAACAGTTCAACGAAACTCAAAAGCAAACTTACAATTAATAAGTTTCTATAGTTACTTGTCCATTCAATGCATTTGAAATGTTTTTAAGAGTCACAATGAGATAATATTCAAAAGGGGACATGAACTAAGTACAGCAAGATGATCTCACACAATTCACGGATGTTTAAAAAAAGACATTCAAACAAAACATCACTAACAATTCACTTTGTGAAAACATCACAGAGGCATACTCCATATATTCTGCATGAGGAAGAGGAAGGAAACTCCTCCTTTCATATTCTCCAAATATTCAGAACACTACTGATCAGAAATCTGCTTTAAAAACAACACAACTTCTCTATTGTTGAAGGCAGTAAAACCTTATCTCCACTTAATTATGTTTTTATTAAGCTCTGCTCTTAATATGATCTGATTTAAGTACACATATGACTTCATATTCCAATAAATTAAAAAACAGTGACCGAGCTCAAACTCACTCAAGCATCAAGTTCAGATCAGGCAAGATCCTGTTGCAAGATAAACAACGTGATGCAATGTAACATAATTTTGTGAGTGTGTGCAAGTGAGAGACTTGAAGGGGGCGGGGGCGAGTGCTGAGAGAAAGCAAGAGAGAATGCAAGCACGCGTCAGCATTCGCAATGGAAAAAATACATATGTCCACAGGAGTTCTCAGTCCAGCACTTGCTATAATTTAGAATAGAGAAACAGAAAAATTGAGAGCTTAATGCAACAAAAATACTGACGCTGCTTTATACTGCTCAAAATACAAGCATGAATCAAAACAGGTCAGCAAAAGGGCCGCTTTCTCTATGAAGTTCACTTTATCAGTATTCATGCAGAATGGCTATGTCAGTATTTAAATTTTGGACCAAAACTTAGCAGTCAATAAATACACTCTACTTCTCTGCAAAAGTTACCAGCACTACTTTAAAAGTAGGGCCTATTTTTTGCCAGTCTAATTTTGTTTCTACTAATCCGGTGGGACAAGACTGAAAGAATCAGGGATAAGCACAAACTCAAGCTACAAAAGTTCAGATAATCAGAAAGTCAGCTGGTAACCTGAAAAGAGAAGAATAAATTTTGCACTCAAAAAAATAAGACTCTGGTCAAAATGGATGTATGTACTGCTTTCTATTTTGTGAACTAAGATGTTCAGTTAAAAACGTTTGTGTTTTTTTTTTTTTCCTTCAATGTCTTGCAATAAGAGCTGCCATACGATTCCTCAGTAGTTATGTCATTTTTTTGATACACAAAAATAATTCCAACAGAAATCAGTCTGCATACTGAAGTCCTACATTACAGAAAAAAGAAAGAACACTATTAGATCATAGAAACTGCTCATGACTTCCGTATTACAACCAACTTCCTCCTTTCCAAACAACAACTTAGTCAGACTGTACTAAAACTTTTTGGAAAAATGAGAAGTTTCACAGAAAATTCAGTGAATAAACATTTCATGCTTAAACACACACTGAACACATTCTGAGTCACATACAATATTATAGGCTAAGTAACCAAAATAATCACTTAGAAACAGTATACAGAAAATAAATTGCATCTTTATATTAGCTTTTTCACAAGTTTCCCTTTCCCTCATGCTATATGAGTCTGAGGGTCTGGAATAAACCCAAAAGTTACCAGCTTACAGAATGTCAGGACCTTTGAAAATTCCACAGGTTTGTGGTCAAGTGCAAACAGAAAGACCAACAAGAGTTAGCCCCATTGGAGTCCATTTCTCAGATCCATTCCACACCTTAACCAACTTCCTTAAAACACTCACTTCCTACATAATGTGGCTGCAAATCCAAAGCAGAAAGTATAAAGTCAAACTGGAACTTCATTTGCACCTGTTACAGTTAAACAGTTTGAGCCTCTCTTTCCTAGCTGCCTGTATTATTAGTACTACTGATTTTAAGAGAGAATGTGTTTGTCGCAAACGTTTTTACTGGTGTCTAGCTAGCTACTTTTTATTTTTCAAAGGTTTATCTGCTACTCGTGATATATCTTTACAATTTGCAAGACAAGAGAATATGTAATTCTGATTTAATCAAAAAACAGAAGAACTCTGCTGGAGTACTAAACAAAAGATCTAATCTTTCGAGCATCCTTTCCAACTGAGTGTAAATAAACTGTAGTAAAATGAAAAGGCTTGTAATTTGGTATTTTAAATATACTTCATAAACACCAATTTTCTGTAACATCCTTGTATATCTCATACTACCTCATGTATAATGCAGAAAATGTATTTCATTTTCATCTATTGACAGCGAATTTAATTTACTAGTGCAGCTCTTTACGCGGATTATGTTATTAATTCTGCAATCAAGCTCTTTTGAATGTTTTTATTTCTTCCTAGAATTTTCACAATTCTACATTGATTCCCCCCAACCCCCGCTCTTCCACACCTTTCAAAATAATTTTTCCTTTAACTTTCCGAAAGAGGAATGAAAAATTTAAAATAGGGAAAAAAAAAAAAACACCAACAGTATCAGCTCATATACTGTATGTTTCAAAGGAAAAAAACTACATGCATTACTTCAACTTTGGACTTGTAGGAATTACAAGTCTCATTCACCAAGGAGATATACAACAGGTGCATTAAAATGTCCATAACAAAACTCATTGTAAAAAGACCACAATATCTCCATTAATAAGAGATTACCCACTTCTCCTTTATACAGAACTAATAAAACAGGGAAAATAAACGCTAATATGTTAGTGTCCTACTTACACCCATACCAATTGCCTTCACTGTTTTAGAGAATTCATCTTGTTAAACTAGACCAAATGAAAAGTAGCTCTTATTTTTCCACAGAAAAGGTGTTAACACCTAGTCAATTCTAAATCACCAGATTACCATCAAAACAGAATCAAAACACCAAAACTAGTAACACGTTATCTGCATCCATTTATAACAACCCCCCCAGATCACATTCAAATACAGAATGTTAAATTGTTGACCCTAAGGAAAAAAAAAATCCAATTGCAGAAACTAAGATGTTTTATACTGTTATGCAAGACCTCCTCTTCAGAACTTTTAAAGAAGAAATATTAAATCAGGTATTTATTTCTTATCGTACACTAATATTTGAAAACTTGTTTCTTGCGTGCAGATACAATTTATGAGAAATACTTGCTCTTCAACTGTTCAGTGTTTCCCTTTTATAGCAGAGTTTTCTTCCACCACCATGGTAAACATAATATAAAGAATATCTAAAGAGCAGCGCCTGTCCTCTTTACTTCACTCCAGAGCCAGTGAACAAAGCAATGAGGCATAAAGAAGGTACATAATGGATTTAAAGTAAATGGCCCATTCTTTAAGAGGAGGCCTCTCAATTTTATTCATTCTAGCTTAATTGTCATTGCAGTGTCTGAAAACTTCAAACGAACAATTATTTTTACGCCAGCTGTCAAGTTGGTTCTTTAAAGCTAGGGTTTTTTTTTAACCAGCAAAAAAGCAAACAGAATATTTTTTTCAGCAACACTGAAAACATTTTTAGACATATATAAAGCACTTAGATAACTAGATGATAATCTACCCACTTCATTCCATACATCAAGTAAAATGAAACATCATATCCACTGTTGCAACTTTGTTGCATGCTTTTCAAAAAAAACGTTTCATGCTGCACTTGATGCTTATGTGCCAACACATGAAACATACTGACACGTTCATACAACCCATGGGATTTAAACATAATCAGCTAATTTTCGCACCTACCTGGGTAAAAATCTTTGGATTTAGACAGCTTGATGGTGGCTCCAGTCTCTTTCTGCAACTGAACAATTGTCTGTCCTCCCTTCCCAATTATAGATCCAGCAGCATAACTAGGTATGAGGACCTTTAGAAAATATTGGCCATCCTCTGAAAAATTGAGATATGCATGGTTAATATAACTTACAAACTTTGATCTCTCCCCCCCAGACCCACAAATGATGTTATATCTTTAGCCTCATCCACTAATGCATGCATTTATATCTAACCAGTTGCGTCATTCGCAAGACATGTTTGGACTATGTCTCTGACATTTCAAAATACGCACTTTTGTTTCAAGCAAAATAAAGAATCCATATACATTCCTTAATTCTGTAAAAGAATAAGAATAAAATTTTAACTCCATTTCAAAGGCGGAATGTTTTCAGCTTTCCTTCTGGTAACCATAGCATACAGAAATGACTAAACCCTTAAAAAAAAAAAAAAAAAGAATCTCTGCACAAAAACGTGCCTCGTCACAACTACAACCTTGCTTGAAAATACTGCAAAAGAAATGCCAAAACTAAGGAGGAATGAATTACAAATTCTAATGGGCTATTTGTTTGTCATTAGCAAACACATGAGAATAGCAATTAGCTATTGCATGCATTCTTCTTAAGTGAGAAAAACGACTACTTGCTACCAAATAACCCACCCAAAATGTGGGGTTTTATTCCAAGCATCTCAGCCACTGCCAAGAAAACAACTCAACATGGTGAGGATGGAATCACTTGCCTAAGTAATCCTGGTGTATTCCTTTAGCAGTTCTTAAGGAACAATGATCTCTTTTAAGCTCATTAATTAAAGGACATTAAGAATCTTTCCCGGTTACTCAAAAGCCTAAGTCACATATTGTAAATACACTTAAAAGGTGATGAGATAGACAATGCGAGTCCTCTACTCCCTACTAGCATTAAAGCATATAACCAGAACCGTAAAAAATACATATGCAATGAATGAAAAAAAAAAAATCCAATCTGATCCAGCAACTGATTATCAGTGCTCTCATCCCAAGTCAGAGACACTGAAGTCTGACAACCTTCTGTAACCAGCTCTGAAAAAGCGCAGGACAATAAAGGTTGGTCGATTCCCCAGACTTATGATCTCCTCAGTGATTAAAAAGCTGTCCCATTGGCTTTAGCATCAAGATTTTTACCATGGAATCTATTTTACAAAGTGATTATTGGGTTCTCCCTCCTCCCCCTCTTCCCCCCTTAAGCAAGAGGAGCGATCCGAGTTCACCTCACTTTCCCCATTCAAACCTACAAGCGCCTTAAGTGCTTGCGTGTGACAATAGTGCCCATCCATATTCATCCAGCCGGCTGCACGATGCACTATATTTAGCCAGCCTGCTGTCTTAATATCGGGCAAATAAATTCACCTCTGCCTCGGTGCATTGTTATGACGACTCTGGTGCAAACGAGCGGAGGAGACGCCGGTCCCGTTATAACTCATTTCCCCCGGGCAGGGCGGGCTGATAGCTCCCGAGTCCCCGCGGCAGAGCCGGCTCCCCCCGCAGTAGCCAGCCCTCGCCCCCCGCAGCCAAACAACACCGTGCACAGGCTGACAATAGCACCGAGGCCAAGGCAGAGGGAAACGCAGGGCAAGGCTAAAACGCAACTTGTGACCCGAAGGATGCAAAGGGAAGAGAGTGCGTTTGTCTCCTTCCAGCCGGCTGCCATTGATCGGAGCCAATTGTGCGGAGGGAGCCCCGCAAGCCTGCCTCCCCGCCGCCGGGTCGCGGCCGCGTAGCCCCTGCGTGGGCATTAAATCAAAAGCCCGGTGGATGCCGAAAAGCGACGCCATTTTGATGAATGATAACGTTAGAGAAATGGGAATGGTTGGGGGGGCGAGGGGGAGGCAGGCAGGTAGGGAAGGAAGGGGAGAGGTGGGTGGGTCGGGCGGGGGGAGGCGGCGGAGGAGATACCCACCGCCCGTGTTGGTCCTCTTGGTGCTGCCCGCTTCGGGGGGGGCTTCCAGCGGTCTTTTCCGGGAGTCCGGCGGGTCCAGGTCTATGGGAACCCCGGTGTGGGTCCCGTTCTGCTGGATGGGAGCTGCCGCCATCATGTTTGCTGCTGCTCGGAGGAGAATTGTCTCTTCCCTTCGGTGCTGGGGGGGCAGGGAGGGAAGGGGGAGGAGGAGGAGGAGGAAGGAAGAGGAAGGGAAAGGGGGAGGAGGAGGAGGAGAAGGAGGAGGGGAGGGGGCTCGTCCCGTTCTCTTGTCCTTTTCGAAAATGTAGAACTACGCTCGGGGTTGCCGAGGATGCTGAGCGCCTTGTTTATCTGGCAGCCGGGGGGAGGGAAGGAGAGGGAAGGAGGGAGGGAAGCGGGCAGGACTGGGCTGGAGGAGCAGCTGCAGTGCAGTGTCAGGAGGAGATGAGGAGCACGGAGACGGGAGCGAGGGGGCGAGAGAGGGGAAAGAAGCGGGAGAGGGGAGGAGGGGGGAAGTGAAAAGAGTGAGACGGGAGGAGGAGAGGAGAGGAGGGGAGAGTGGGAGAGAAGAGCGAGAACGAGTGAGACGGAGGAGAACGGGCGGGAGGGGGGAGCGGCGGGAGGAGGAGGGAGCGGTGTAAATGGTGGGCGAGTGAGCGAGGGGGAGATGATTCACACCGCCTCCGAGCCCCTCCGGCCCCTGCCTGCCCTAACGCTGCGGCGCGGCCGCCCGCTGCTCCCGCGCCCTCATGCTCTCCTCGGCTGACGGGCTGGGCACGGGGCTGAAGTGGGGGGGCTCCGTGTCCACCCACCACCACCGCCGGACGCTCCGGCAGCTGGCGGGCTCGGCTGAGCAGGGTCCGGCCTCGAGCAGGGGCCCACCGACCTTGGCTACACCGCAGAAGCCCCTGAGGCAGGAGAGGTTAGAGCCGGGGAAGGGGGTTCCAGACTGGGGGCAGCTAGGCGATATGGGGGGAGGAAGGGGGTAGGGGGGGGTTCTGGGGGAGCTTACAGAAGAAGGTGGGGTCTCCCTTCAAGACGGGCGGGAGATCTGGCCAATGGGAACAAAAGAGAGCGAGGCTGGGATTGAGCGGCGCGGCCAATCACGGGTCGTGCACGGCAGAGCCGCTGGGGGGGAAGGCGGGGGCGGTTTAACCTCTGCGGCGGCCCGAGGGGTGGGGGTTGGCGGTGGGAGGGCGTGTGGGGAGGCCGCTCCCGCCCCAGGAGGGTCCGCGCAGTGGTGCCGCGTCACCTGGGTTACGCGCAGAGCCTCGCAGGCCCGCGGCTGCGAGAAAGGACGGCTGCGGCTGCGGCTGTGGCTGCAGAGGAGGCGCCGGATAGCGGGGCCGTGTCTGAGCGGGGCCAGCCGCGCCTTCTCCATCGGTGTCGAGCGGGATTGGCACTTCTGCCGGCAGCTGGGCGAGGGCCGATCCCGCGGGCTCATAGGAAAAATAATAAAGAGATTATTTCTGTGCGGTGACAGCTGGGCTAAGCCAGAGCTGTGTGACACAGCTCGGCATTTCTTACATAAATATTTAATAGAAACGCAAAGATGTTTCACTGCAGCCAGGGGTATTTCCGTTTGCAAATGTCAGAGTATTCAGGTTGAAGCTTAAAAGGGTTGTGAGGTGCCGAGAATGTGAAGGTGGGAGGGATTGCCCGTGCGCTAGAAAGGCATTTTTACTCCGTTCTGTGCTGTTTAATCCACTCATTACCTTTGAAAAAATTGGCAGAGTAATATAATCATAACTGCCGTGGTCAGCAGTGAGCATCAGTTCTAGCAACGTGCCTTTACTGCGTTAAACCATGTTGTGTGCTAAATTCATATTGCTGCGTGTATGTACGGAATGGCCGCTGACTCGGTTTCTTGTCCAATACAGGCTGAAAATCTGGCTGGCTGTGGATGAAATCCAACTTCCATTCTGAGCTCCCTGGGAAACCCAGCCCTAGTGTTAGTAATCACTTACCACTAATGCAGCCCAAAACAATTTTTAGAGCTTAAAATACAGATTTCATACATAATACATAGTACAGCACATCGTCTTGCGAGTACTTATAAATTATGAGCCAGATATCTAATATACTATTGGGTATTAAAGCATGGATATTTTAGTATCTGAACAGACTCCTGCCCAAAAGTATTCACAAATTAAAGACCCAATCTAGCACTGTAAATTGGAAACTTTCAATAGCTTCTCTGGGAATTGTGTCCCAGGAATGCAGTATCTAGCTTCACAGCTGGATGAAACAGATGCAGCACATTCAGTAACAAGTTGATAGCATGTACAGTCAGAAAAAATATTGTGTAAAAATGGTACATTCGTAATCATTTTATACCCTTTGTATCTAAGATATTCTGACTCATGGTTGCTTCATTTACTGACTGAAATAAAATTTTTGGCTTCTGTTACCTTTGCGGTTGCTGATACAATTACGGTGCAGCAAGCTGAGGACTCTTTTGGCTCTTTCATTTTCTTTACTAAGTTCCAGTTGAAGAATTTTAATTAGTATTTGAGCCAGAAAGAAAACTGTGTGGCTTAAAAGCCTCGGGTCCAGTTTGAACGGTCATCAGTCCCAAGCAGCCTCTTTTTATTTGTAAACTGAGCAGACGGCTTACAGAAAATTTAGAAGGCAAAAATAAAAAACATTGATGCTCAAGTGAAGCCATTTTTAGTCAATTTCCGCAGTGGAACTGTAATTTATAACACTGGTCCCTTTATCTATCTGAATGTGCCCCATTCATCTGTGGTAACATTGAATCAAACAATTCTCTTGTTTTAAGACCACATCTGCTTTACTGTGTCCCCTGCACCAATTTTAATTATGTGGCAGATCTGATTGGATTCAGCACCTGCAAGTATTCCCTTTGGGAATTCCAATTAGCTTATAAAACATTTACTTGATTGCATTCTTTAAATAAAAGTATTGTTTCATCCTAACAATTAACACGTAGAATGAAAAAGGGTTTTAACGTGATAAGCAGCGTGTGTTTTTTGTGTATATGTCTTCCATAAGCTTAGAGGAAAATGGTAATCCTGAAACCTAATTTCTCCAGGCTCAGCAGATGTCTGTCCTGTGTTAGTCTGTTTCTTCATGAACAGCTGTCTCACAAGTGCCTTCCCTTGTCTCTACAGAATGTCTTTTGTTTAATAATTTCTTTATATGTTATCTCCTGGTCCCACTAAGACAAGCTTTTAAAAAATCTTTTTTGGTACCTGTAAGTAGTCTCTTTATAGTTGAATAGGTTTTGAAGAATTTAGCTAAAGCTATAGAACTAGCCTCTCAGCTATTTTCTTAGTAGGATTTCTACTCAACTAAGCGAATGGCTGCATATAATTGACATTTTAAGTTAATAATTAACAGTTGCAACAACAATTTAATATGAGCAAAATTGTTAGCTATTACAGATATGCTTCAGAATATGCTTCTGAAAGCACCGTCTGTCAAAGCCGGTAACCTGTCTAGGGCCGGGATCTTGAGGTCTCGGAGCTTATGGCAGAAAGTGCAGCCCTCTAGCGGCAGAGGTCAGTGGTAGTTTTTGCAAGCTGTGATTTTATCACGGGTGAGGCATAATGAAATAGTTTTTAGCCAAAATAAATAAATAAATAAATAAATGCAAACTACCCAGGACACTGCCTTGTGGTGCTGTCAGCCTCCTGTATTTTTCATGGTCTGAAGCACCTATAGAAATAGTGGAGGCCTGTTGTACAGCTTTGTTTCCACTCTGCCATTATTTCTGTGGAAGAAGGACCAATGGAAAAAATTTAGAATGTCTGTTATCAGCAGAATTTCCCTTTTTTTTTCTCTAATCTGCTTCCCTGCCAGTCTTTTCTAGCCAGTTCCAGACTGGCATATCTACCCAGTTGTTTTCAAGCTGTTCCTTTTCCTGTTTCTTTCAGTTATCTCCTACCAGTAACTTCAGAAAGAATTAGTTCAGTGATAGTATGAAATACAAGTTCAGTTTGCCAGCCTTATTTCTAAGAACACTCTTGTCTGTGAGAGGTGTGAATGGTCTCTCTCACAGGCATGAGAGCTGTCTTTATAAATGACAGGGATTAGGAAGAGGCATAAACCAAAGTAATGAAATACATATGTTAACACATGGAAGTCCACAGAGTAACTTTACATCAATTACAGAATCACAGAATCACAGAATGGCCAGGGCTGGAAGGGACCTTAAGGATCATGAATCTCCAACCCTCCTGCAACATGCAAAGCCACCAATCTCCCCCTCCCCATTTAATACTAGACCAGGCTGCCCAGGGCCCCATCCAATCTGGCCTTGAACACCTCCAGGGATGGAGCATCCACAACCTTCCTGGGCAGCTTGTTCCAGTACCTCACCACTCTCTCTGTAAAGAACTTCCCCCTAATATCCAACCTAAATCTCTCCTCCCTCAACTTAAAACCATTTCCCTTGTCCTGCAGTTATCAACCCTTTCAAAGAGTTGATTCCCCTCCTGTTTGTAGGCTCCCTTTAGGTATTGAAATGCTGCAATAAGGTCACTCCGCAGCCTTCTTTTCTCCAGGCTGAACAAGCTCAGCTCCCTCAGCCTGTCTTCATAGGGGAGGTGCTCCAGACGCCTGATCATCTTCGTGGCCTCCTCTGGACTCTCCAACAGCTCCCTGTCTTTTTGTACTGGGGGCTCCACACTTGGATTACCTCATTAAACACCTCCTAACCTGATTAGGTTCACTGAGCATCAAAATATATGAATCAAATATCAAAAACAGGAGGCCTGTTTCATGTTTCAGCGGTTCAGTGACTACCTTTGGAACCAAACTCAATTCTGTTTCTGGTAGAGGTGATGGATACCTCTTCTAGTTAATAGAATTAATGGCTTGGTTTTCCTCTTATAGGAAATACGACAGAGCCCAGTAATCTTTGGATGAAAAATGATATCTCTTAAACATCCAGAGTAGGTAAAAGAAAACAAGTTCTGTTTTTATTCACAATAAAACTGGTATTACCGGGAGTTCTTCATTATCAAACAATTGCTCTGGCAATTGATGTCTGGCAAACCTTTGCTCCACTAAAACTGCAGTTACTTGAAAACTGAACTTACAACTTATTCTTTCAAGCCTTTAGCATCTGCCTCTGTTTATGATTTTTTTTTTTTTTCTGCAGTAGTCTACCAGTTAAACTATAGTCGTTCTTGATTAAACTATCTAAGTGTTCTTTGAATACTTCATGAATTGTTCGTCAGTAAATATTTTTAAATCTCATTGGAACTTCTAAATTGCATCAGCATTAATCTTAAGAAAATCATACCCAGATTTAAGGAAGGAAGCTGAACATCCCATTTAGAAAGAGAGAAGCCTGATTATCCATTTTCCAGTATTTATATCTCCTGTATTTTTCACACATGTATTGGATGCACAGTATGGGCAACAGTTAAATCCTTTCATATTGTAGATGGTTACTGTGTGGTAGCTTTCTTTGCTTGCTTTCTCTGTGGATGGTGACTTCACAGTGGTAATAATTTGACCATACCATTTATCATAATATGAGTATATTAACCAAAATTCTCTGCTTAGAAGTGGAAGGAGAGAGTGAGTATAGAAAATCAATGGTCATTTCTGCTGTCTTAGCAAAGGGATCTCATGCTTCCTCCTACTCCACAGTGTTCATCAAAATTCTTCATTCCTACAGTTGTAGATCTGTTTTATAAACTATTCCTGTGTTTCTTCTATTTTGAGGTTACCTAATAACATACCCTGATGTCAGTATGAAAAATAAGGTAACCTCGGAACAAGATAATTTTTTGTCTCCTACAAGGAATTGACTAGGACAATGGTACAATCCATAAAACTCCAATGGCTAGAGAATTTTTCCAAAAAGTCATCTCCATAGTGACTTTGCTGTATAGTAAGACTTTCTATTTCTTAGAATGAAAGAAACTGAAGACTCAATATCAGCTGTTTTTCAAGAGTTGTATTCTTCTTTCCTGTTTTCTCATTTATTTTTTAAATACTGAAATAAATAAATCAGAGATTAAAACAGACACAAGACAGGAGTGATTCAGTCGTAATGAAATAATGTTGTAACCTAGTAGGTGAGAAATAAAGGAAGTTTATGTTAGTTTACGGTGGTGCTGACTGCATACATGTTAGCATTGTATTACAAAAGAATGTCAGAAGAACTAGCTATCACTCCAGATTCTTAAAGATGTACTCATCTAAGTGCTGCATGGTGAATAGGGTACTGTTAAGGGAATCAGTATGCCTGTTTTTAATCTCTGCTGTTAGAACTGATATTGCTATATTACTATTTTATGCCTCATTTTGCCCACATTCCACTGTCTTACTTATTTGAAATTTTGACATTTTAGGGTAAAGGAAAGATGAAAAAGAAAGTGAATGGAGAAGTCAGTTTCTTGGATCTTGTTGTGAAGCCTGGTCCACTGCAATACTATACCATTTCCTGTGAATTGAAAGACGTGAAATAATGTAGTAACGTAGTTGTAAGGGCATCTCTACTGAAGCTATATCATGTTCTCAAAGATAGTGATGAAGTCTTAGTTGTTCACATAAATTAAAACTAGTGAAAAAGGTCATAACTTCAAATATAGTCTAATGACACAGGACCTTTTTTTGAAACCTTGAATTTTGCTGTAGTCCTGTTGACAATGAGAGTTATTTTAGCAAATGAAAAGAATGGAAAGGGAGGAAGTAAACATTCCACAGGAGACAAAGGAGAAACAAGAAAGATGTGATGGAAACAAAGTTACTGATTTTTCTGTTGTAACCGTGATTAGCAAAATTTTAGTTGTGTACATCGTTTTGCTCAATTCAAAAATAAATACTATTTCAGACCACTAAAAGTATGTACTAATAAAATTATACTAGCAAACTCTTCTGTGTTACCAACCAACAGAAATACATTTTTATCAGTATAATTTGTAATCAACTCTCCAAATCATAAGCTATTCTGCCAAAGAAATCTTTTCTGTGAGTAGAATATTAGCATAGCAGAAGGATTTTTGCCAGTGGAAAAGTAACTAAAGTCACATCTGTAAAATCATTGCAATAGCAAAAGTTCCTAATAAAGATTTGGACATTTTTTAATAATATTTTAAAAGACTTAGTGTATAAAAAAGCATATACCAGTTCACTAAAAATTAATTTTCAGCACAGAGAGATTTTAGGCAGTTGTTATTACCTTCAAGAATACAAGGTTATGCTGGGAACTTCAGCTGATTCTTCCCTGTGGGTTAGCAAATGCCTTAGAGTTTGCTCTTAAGAAATTATTTTGCTACAACAATGTAAGTTGATTATTCCAATGCTTTATAGCTCGGTCTACTTGAAAATAATTATTTCAAAATAACCATGGATTGGAAATTCTAGTAGAGGAAAGATATAAAACTTAGTGTTAGGATAAAGTGGCCAGAGTAATTTCATGCATATCTTCCTGTTTGTCATACAAGCATACATCTGTGTGTCAGGGGCACACAAAGGCTATCTGGTCTAAGTAAAATGTAGGGAGTAGACATAATGCTACCTATTTGAGACAAAGTGCAGTAAGGTTAGAACAGATAGTAGTACAAACCTATCTAAGTTACCATTTTGAGACAAAAGGAGGTAGTGGCAAATTATTAATTACTTTGGGGTTTATTCATCTTACCATCCTGTTGCAAAATATGATTTTGATTTATAATTCACGAAGACCAGTACAGTGAAATTTTATATGTTTGTAACTGGATGCATGACTTTTAATCCAAAAAACATAGAACAACTGATATGCTGTAAAAAAGCGTATGTCTATCTACCTTGCTGAATTGACAATACATTTCTATTTATTTCAAAGGATGACAGCAGCATTGCTTCAGTATTGCGGATTTAAGCCTCCAAATCTCATATCCAAGCTTACTATAAATCAATGGAAATCTTCCTTTTTTTTTTTTTTGTATATGTGAGCTCTTAAGCGTTTTTCAGATAAGCTGTATATTATTTAAAACGTTCCACATACATATATTATTTGTAGAAAAGTTTTTCTTCTTTTCTGCTTTTTTTTTTTCTTTTTTTTTCTTATCTTGAGAACCCTCCAGGCTGACAATAGAAATCCACAAACCTACTGGATGCAGACAGTTCTGTTGACTTCAAGGGCTTTATGTCACTTAATATGAAATACTTGAGGGAAAAATAAGTAGAGAAAGGGAAGAACTTATATAAAAGATAGTAAGATAAACTGTAAGGCTTTCATGCCATAAGAGAAAGTATCTTTATATTCTAGTGATGGACAATTTGAATTAGTTTTGCATAGATATATTTTTATATAGAGGGATATGAAGTGTCTAAGAATATATAATTTATCATTTCTAATAGACTAAATATAAAGAACAGCCAGTATATAATTAGACATGCATTACAACAATTCAAAATCCAAGTTAAGGTGAAAATCTTTATGTAGCTATTGTGTACATTGATTAAAAAAAAGATACAAAGATGATGTTATAGAAAGCTGTATGTAATATGTGTATACATACGTATATTTAAAAAAAAAAAAAAAAAAGTGTGATTGTTTTTACTCTCAATTTTCTATGGAGTATTTTGTTTGTTGTATTTTAGCCAAGTAGGAAGATTTCCTCTTTCAAAACCGTATTTATGATTTCTTTAATATAGTTTATAAAATACATGTTCAATCTGATAGCTTACATTTGCCAGTTTTGCCAGTTAAGGTTGGTTACTGCCTACAATTTTTTATCTTGTTAGGATGTCATTGCAATGAAATTAAGGAAGATGTTCATGGATGAAGAGAAGCGTAGAATATCAGCAGCCACCAGGCACATTCTTAATAGAAAGTGTTGACAGCTTTTGTAGCTGTAACTTATTTATAATATAGAAAATACAATAATATTTCATGCTATAGAAGGATGATGATAGATACAGATACACAACTATACTTGCGTCTTTATGTTGAGATGTTGAGAAGTCCATTAAAACTATCATATCCTATCCTACCTCAAAGGACATTGTTCAAATCATAGATTCATATAATGGTTTGTATTGAAAGGGACCTTAAAGATCAGATAGATCCAAGTCTCCTGCCATTGGCAGGGATACCTTCTGCTAGATCAGGCTAACCAGAGCCCTATCCAACGTGGTTATGAACAATTCCAAGGATGAGTCATCCACAACATCTCTGGACAACCTGTTCCAAGGCCTCACCATCCTCTTAATAAATAATTTATTCCCATGGTCTAATCTAAATCTACCCTCTTTTATTTTAAAGCCATTATACCTTATATATTATACCTATAAAGGGTATCTCCCTGTCTTTCCTGTTGACCTCCTTTAAGAACTGGAAAGCCATCAAGAGGACTCCAACAGTCTTCCCTAATCTAAACAATCCCTACTTTCTTAGTCTGTTTTCATAGAAATGCTCCGGCTTTCTTCTGAGTCTTCTGGACTCATTTTAACAGGGTTTTTTTTTGTACTAGAGCCAGAGCTGAATAGTTCAGGCACAAACTCTACAAAAGGTCAGCAGAGGGGAAGAATTATCTCCATTGACCTGCTGATCACTATTCATTTGATGTAGCCCAGGAAGCAGTTGGCTTTCTTTGCTGCAAGCATACTCTGCCTACTCATTTTGAATTTTTCATCCAACACCAGTAAGTCCTTCTCCATAGGGCTGTTCTCAGTGTATTCATCGCCCAACCTTTATACATGCTTGGGATTGTCCTGACTCAGGTGCAGCACCTTGCCCTTGTTAAACTTTAGGAGGTTAGCACAGGCTCAGTTCTCAAGCTTCTAAAGATCCTCCTAGATGGCTTCATTTCCCTCCAGAGCGTGAGCCACACCAGATCTTTGCAAACTTGCAAACTCCATCCTATTGTCCGTGTCACTGGCAGAGATATTAAATAATTCTGATCCTAATACCAGCACTTAAAGGGCCAAACAGATCTGTTGCTGGTCTCCACAAAGATATCAAGCAGCTGACTGTAACTCTTTGAACGGGACCCTATCCACCAAGTGGACTACCTATTAAATCCACATCTCAACAGTTCGGAGACAAGGATATTATGTAAGACACTGTCAAATGCTTTATACAAGTCCTGGTAGATTACATCAGTTCTTCTTCCCTTATCCACTAGCACTGTAACCCTGTCACATAAGGCCACCAAATTTGTCAGACATTATTTAACTTTAGTGAAGCCATGGTGGCACACTCTCCATTCTTCAGGTGCCATAGTTTCCAGGATCTGCCTATATTTCTTGCCTCATTAACTGTTCAGTCTAAAAAATATTTTTTCTTCCCCAGTGAATTTACTGTGCTTTTTGACTACTTACTGCTTTAGGAAGATGTGACAAAGGGTAGTACTAAACTACTGACTTGTTAAGGAAAGCACACATAACACAGTGATGCTTGAAAATGAGTATGTTAAAACTTTATCAAATGTTAGTATCTAAGAGTAGTAGTAAAAGTGTAAGCAGCAAACACAGGTAGTGCAGCCAAATTCAAATAAATTATTTTGTATAAGAATTGGAAAGATTTGGTTCAGTTATGCAAATCCTCATTGACTTTATAGATATATATTGTTCTATTCAACACTTTTTTCTCCCAAAACAATCAAAACACCAAAATGTTTTCTTCTGCTTTTCAACAACTTTTTATACAGATTTTTTCTACTAAGATATAATTTTGATGATTTTAGGAAATATTTATATCTCAAATGATTGTATATATGTCTCATATGAATGGAAAGATTATCGTAATTATCTTTTGGACTGCATGGGTGTATTATTCATTATTACATCATTGTACTGTGGAGGAACTGGGTTGTAATATATATGTCCAAAGGTTATGCATCAGTTAAAAATCGTTAAAAGGAATTTATCTCTTTATTACATTTGTAACATTAATGAAAAAAAAAAAAAAAGCTGTTAGCTTTCCAGGAACATTTTTTTAAATTTAGAACCTCTAAGATTTCATAGGAAAATATGTCACATAATCAAACAAATACTTGGAATTATAGGTTCTGCAACACAATATTATGTTCTGTGGAAGTCACTTATGGAAAAAAAAAAAAAAAAACCTATCCTCATAGTATTCAGTGTCATCTTAATAAAACACATGATGACAGCAGGCATTTGTTGAATTGAAGTTTGAATTATGTTTTATGATTGTTTTTGGCATTCAGTTTAATGAACTAATATTCTTTGTGAATCCTGACATTTGAAAACAAAGCTGAATATTGTAATTAATTTATTAAATTAAACAGTTCTTCTTTGTATAGTGAACTACACTGTTTTCTTTAAAAGATTTTAAATTACTGGAATTTCATTTTAATTTGAAAGCCTTTATAATAAAAGAAAAATGATTATTATAAAACATGTATATACGTCTATGTACATACATGCATTTTTGTATATACATGAACAGAAATAAAGGAGATTCTCATTAATGATGCATGTTTTATGTGTTTTTATATGTATATTTATCCATGCATTCATACACAAAATCATACAGCAGTGTTGAGCCCTCTAGTGGTAAGAAACTTCTCAGTTAGGAAGGCTTTAGTCAAATTATATTTCTCCTAAATGGCAGGTGTCCAAACTCAACAGCACTATTATACCATAATAGATGTTCAGAATGACTTCCCGTAGTCAAGATGGGTCTGTATTTATTTGAAAATACAGTTCTTCTAACAGAAGAGTACTTACAATACACTAATGATAGTTTGTAATATCTGTTTCAGAAAAACCACAACAACATGTGAATACTGTCAAACTAATACTGTCAAGTAAACATCTTCACTCTCAACATCAAATTATATACTTCCACAGGTAAGTACCAAATTTCAGAAGAAGAAAAGTCTGCATTTCAAATTGAAATGAATGTTTACCTAATTTGGCCTTTCCACACTAAAATAAAAGACTTTATTCTTCAGTGGCCATGAACATTGTTTCAACCAGATTATTTTAATTGTGTCACTTCTACATACTACATACTAATTACCATTTTTCTAATAGCTTTTTGTCTAGTTTAACTTTAGATGTTAAAAATAATGGGAGGATCTAAAGAAACATAGAATCTTCATTCTTAATGATTTTAGTAATGTGGAGGCTTTTGAGCCACTCAGATTCTTTTACATCATTATCATGCATAACTTCTTAGGAATATGACAGCTTTCTTTCTCCATATGATGCATCTATTTAGTTCCCTTTGTTTAAATATTAACATTTTATAACACTTTATGTATGTTTAACATACAAACAACATACATCAGCTATACAAATAAGAAACTGTGGTGTAGAGAGGCAGAATCCGCAAGTGGATTTTGTCATCTAATCTAGTATGTAATGAGTGAACTTTAAGAATGTGAACTTTGGCATTCGAATTGTGCTTACAAGCAAAAAAGTCTGCAAAATTGCTAATGCATATAGAGAGTTAGATACCTATTAGAAGTTCATGTAGTACTTCAGTTTTTGCTTTGGAAATGATTCAGTCCGTTCACAAAAAGCCAAAGTCCTGCAAGGAAAAGGTAACTGGACATTCTTCGGTGTATGGTCCCCAAATCCAACAGATGTCGTTGGCTCATGCTAAGCACATAGGATCAGGCT